GGGGATGGAGTGGGGGGGTTAACAGTGGGGGGTCAAGAGGGGCTTCAGATCGCACTCCCTCCACAGTCCTTCACTTGGGACCAAGCTAAAAGGGCCAGCGGTGCAGTGGGGGGGGGGGGGGCCATGCCGGCATGTACCGCGTGACTGGCACTCACGGAGTTGTGGCAAGCAGTGCGCCGCATGCTGGCCCGCAGCTCGTGTACAGCTCGCTTCCTCACCGTGTTGATAACCCCGGCACCTGTGACACTGGCGCGCCGTATGTCCAGGCACCAAACGCAACCCCAGCGACGCAGCATCGCGTGGCAACACTAGCACGCCCACGCCGCGCCACACATCAACCCAACCCTGCCGCCCCAGGTGCTGGCCACCGTCGAGTCTTACGCGCCGGGCGCGGGCCGCTGGGAGGCGGCGGCGGCGCCCATGGGCGACGCGCGGTACGCCTGCGCGGCGGCGTCGCTGGGCGGCGTGGTGTACGTCGTGGGCGGCCAGTCAAGCCGCAGTGCGATCTTCAGGTGTGGCGGTTCAGGGATTTGGGCATCCTGCGGGGGGATGGATCTTATTTTTGGATGTTGTGTGACTTCAACTCACCCTGTGGCGCGAGCACGGCCGGGGAATTTCGGGCGAGGGGCAGAGTGGGCCGGAGCGCTGCGGGCCCCCTCAACTGCGGTGCGCTGGTGCCGCCACGGATTCTTAGGGTCTTTTGCCGCGTGCCCGGCAGTCGTGCCAATCAACACCACTCTCACCTGCGCGCACGCCTGTTGACCTCTGACCCCTCATGGCCTATCCCAATTCCCCTGATTTGTCGCCGCCTTCGCAGCACCTTGGAGGCCTTCGACCCGGACAGCGGCCGCTGGCTGCCCGTCTCCGCCCGCATGGGGTCGGAGCGCAAGTACTGCGGCGCGGCGCCGCTGGGGGGCCGCCTATATGTGTGCGGCGGCCTGCGCAACGCGGGGCGGCAGCGGCTGGCGACTGTTGAGGCGCTCGACCCGCGGGAGGGGGTGTTCCGGGAGGTGGGTGGCGGCGGCACGCACCAGCCGGGGGCGAGGGCGCGGCGGCCACCCTGCAGCGCTGTTGCTGCCATTCCACAGGCCCATCGTCCGCTGCCCTTGCGGCGACTCTTTTGGTAATTAACCCACACAACAAGACCCTCAACATAAGTGTCTTGCTCCTCAACGCGCAAGACCCGGACCAAACGCACCTTGACCCACGCACGCCCCGCCCTGCTCTGCATAACGCAGGTCGCGCCGATGGCCGCCGCCCGCAGCAGCTGCGGCGCCGCGGCGCTGGGCGACCGCCTGTACGTGGCGGGCGGCAGCGCCGACGGCAGCGGCTTCCACGAGACCCTCGAAATCTTCGAGCCGGCCATGGGCCGCTGGCGGCCGGGGCCGGCCCTCAGCTGCGCGCGCAGCGGCCTCGCGTTGGCTGCAATATGATGCGACACAGGGGGCGCGCGCCACTCGGGTGGGGCTGGCGACGCCGCCGTGACCTGCCACTTGGGACAGCTTTGGAAGTGCACGCCCAGGGACCCCTGCGAGGCCTGTCGTCGCTCGGGAGTCGTCGCAGCAGCTGCAAGGCGCGGGCCACCTGCTGGGGCTCACTGACCGCAAGCATCGGCGCGTCGGTCCCATCCTCCCTGCTTGGTTCCTAGGGACACTGCCGGCACATTTGTTGGCTTGCTCCACCTGCGGCCTCTGGGGCCGCACACCGCGCTGCATTTGGCCAGCTCAGTTATCCGACTGCTAGGCTTTGCACTTGCAGGCCAGGTCTTCATCTCAGGCCACCTGCAAAATTGTTTTGTACACTATCCATATCACATGTCACTGACCCCAGAACCCATCAAGCACCCGCTCTTGGGACCTACAATGGCCGCCACCACGTGCGTGCTGTTCAAGTGTGGATGGGCCTCTGCGGTTGCTCAAGCGCCTCTGCACCCGTGATCACTTATGCTGTGAGCACCCCTCAGGCAAAGGGATGCATGTAGCACACGGCATGTAATTTCTACATATCATGCAATTGGGCATTGATAAAGCAACATCAGATTATACACCATTGTCAGCATCACCACCGTCTGAAGGGATGCACAGGTGCAGCAGAACTAGGCGTGGTTCTTGTCTTATTGCACCAACATATCGTGCAGGTGCAAAAAGACAAGCAAAAAGACAAACTGCAGCCTCGTTAAGGTGCGAGCGCAGAGGGTGCTGCCATTGTGGCTGCCCACTTTCCAGGTCGTTTTCATACGACGCCTGCGATCACTTGCAGAGATGCCATCCTGACTGAGCTCTTTGCATGCTGCATTGAGTCGTACTCTGTGGTTGTATTCACGTCTATGGAAGCAAACAAAAAGATCAGCCACAAAAGTTTACGCAGGGAGAAACCTGGCACAACCCTGGCCACACACAGCTCACGTGCACCCTCGTGTTCGTCCTCCATTTCCTCCTCGACACCGTGCCATTTGTTGTCGACCGCCACACGGTTGCGCCACCACCTGCTGAATGCCGCAATGCCTGGCCATGCGGCACGGCCGTTGCTTTGCCCAGCTACTTGTGCCCCGTCCGCTGACACCCCCTGGGCTCAGGATCGTGGATGATTACTAGGCTGTGCGCGTGCATGTTAGACGCGTCGCCATCAAGTGCTGCTGTTTTTGTTCAAGCAAGTTTTGCTGTACAGTTCAGTTATGTAAACATGAGGTGACCATGTGTAAAAGCAGTACTGGTGTGCAGTAGTGCTCATAATCACTATTCAAGGCTCACAGTACATGAGCTAAAGCAATCACATGAAAGCTCCAAATCAACCTTTGCTGGCTGCGGCTCCGTCCAAAGCCCACGGCTCAGGGGTGTGCGGTTCGCCACTCCCACTGGTGCATGACGCCCAGCCCCCGCATGCCCTGGCCCAACTCGCCGCTGCCGACGGCGCAGGCACGGCGCGCGCCCCTGGTCACTCCACCCAAGCAAGATCGTCATCCCATTCGAGTTGCGCCATGTCAAACAGCAGCATAAACTTCTTGTGCGCTTTGGGACTTTCAACGACCTCGCTGTGCTCGTCGATGATCTGCAGGGGCTTGGGGCGCAGGTTGAAGGGCGGCTCCAGCAGGTTGATTGGGTAGTATTCCCCTGGGGCAGGACCGGGCGCACAGAAAAGGTGTGCGTGTTGTGTATGTTGCGTGCGTGCGTGCGTGCGTGCGTGCGTGCGTGCATGTGTGTGTGCGTGTGTGCGTGTGCGTGTGTGTGTGTGTGTGTGTGTGTGTGTGTGTGTGTGTGTGTGTGAGTGAGTGTTTGTATGGCACTCGAGCGCGAGCACGCGCAAGCGCGAGCGCAGGCGCGAGCGCGCTCGAGGGCGCGAGTGAGAGGGCTGCACTGCATGCATTGCTTCATAGGCTCCCAAACACGCGCTTGTTGTCGGTCCTTACCCGCTGTGATGTATGTTGAGGTTGATCTTTTTGTCGAGGTAGCTGCCCACGAGCAGGTACTTGGCACCGGTGGCCCTCACATTGTTGAGGAACTGGAAGGCGGCGTTCAGGGTCACGTGCTGCAAGCTGTCGCGGCTCCACACGAGGTCGTAGCCCTTTGGCAAAGGCTGGTTCGCTGCGGGTGTTGCGGATGGCGACGGCAGGGCAGATGGGTGCAGGGGCCCCGCACCACGCGCAGGCAGCGAGCCGCGAGCCAAGAGGGCGACTAGGAGTGACCGCAACAGCTTACGAGGCGCGCTCCTTGCTCAATTCCAGCTTGGAATTGCTGTCCGTCACGCGCTCGCAAATGCCCGTATTTGGTCACCGAATGTCCCGCGCCGTGCCCACCGTAGTCGTGGCACCCGAACCGCAAGTTGCGGTGGCCCTTCATGGTGAAGTTCGCTGTGTGCTGCGCCGTCAGGTCGCAGACCACATCGCTGCCATAAAACTTGAAGTGCGGCTTGTCTTTCTCGACCTGCTCGAGCACCCTGTTGAGTTGTGTGCGCGCATGCATCTGTCTGGGCTGCCAGCCCGCCCGGAGCCCATCGCACACAGGCGCCCAGCGTGCACGACAGCGGCATCCAGTGCACTGCATGGCATGCTGCCGCAGGAGGAGTCCATCATGGAGTTGATGTCGTACTTCTTGATGAGTCTTGGAAGGGCCTCCTGGACCGCGGCTGCGGTGCGACGACGCGTTGGCATGCAGGACATGGGCGCAGAGAGAGAGAGAGAGAGAGAGAGAGAGAGAGAGAGAGAGAGAGAGAGAGAGAG